TGTCTCTGGGAGGGTTCATCATTTGGAAGATACTTTAATCATAACCTTGGCCACCAGGATTGATGGATCATTGCCTCCTTTCCATCGTAGCTATCAGCTCCTTAAGAAAAAAGGAGCTGCACGCTTCGATACTCCTGGCCTTCATGCTTCCCAACAGAAGCCCTGCCGCCCCGCTTCCGTGTGCCTTGTCACACCGCATCCTTGGCGATGCAAAGTGGAGTGCCAATCCGTTTTGTTGAATCGCTGCAGACACCACGTCGCGATCGGATTGGAGTGCCTCCGTCAGAAATGGAACCAGGCCCCGTCGCAAGGCGCAAGGCTGTTCAGGGATGGAAATGGTACCATAAGGCGAAAAGCTTCAAACTTGGCTTCCTTGAAAATTGTCTTTTTCAATGTTAACCTCAGTCTCGTTCACTAGCGTCAATTTGACGGCCCTGTAGTGCACAATAGACTGGAAATCAGCTACAGCTACAATGCTGACAACTGATCACTGCCAACGGGCCGCCTTCCCCACATACTTTAATGCTTGACCGGAATTTGCCACAGCTGCAAGGACCACTTCCTTGTCATTCTTGAAGCGCTCCTTAAAGCCCGAAATTGAAGTCACTCAGACGACAACCGCTTCTAAAACTGAATTAACTGCATCATATTGTCCAGCTGGTGGACTTTAGAATTTTCTCCTCCTGGGCCATGATCTTTATCTGCCACCTACCTCCGCTGCCTGTTGATTTGGGAACGTATTAATTTCATGCAACGAATGAAACAGACTGGCACGCTGCAATACCCCCAAATCCACTGCCAAACACGATTTCCATACTTTGGCCAAGGGTCAGGTGCCCACTGCAACGCGATACCATTAGCAGTCACAGCAGCTAGGGCAACCTCAGGAAACGGTCCAAACCAAAAAGACAACAAATACAACGCCTTTCCGCGCCAGGTCCTCTCGCGCCCTGCAGGCGCCTCCCGCTTCTTCCGATCCAGGTCATCGAGCCCCGCCAGTGCAGAGCTCCGTGCGGTCACACGTGCCAGAAGCGCGGCACGGCGCACCTGGGGACCCTCCTGCAAACCGGGCAGTGCAGTGGCATCGGCGTTGGACACAGTCTGCAAACATGATATAGAACACCTTGTAGGTGCGACAAGAATTCTTGGAGGAGTTCCAAGTTCTGCGCGCCAAGTTCTACCCTCCTCACTCACACCAACAAAAACCCTGTCAAGGTTTATGGATCAAAAGGGTTTACACAGTTGACACCATTGATGTTTTTTGGTGCTGGTTTAGGTGATGGTCTTTGGCAGCAGTCACTCAACAAGCGTGCACCAGGGTCAAGGTATTGTGAACCCTGGCTCGAACCGTCAAGCGCTGGGATTCACACATTGGGACGGGTTTTTGTCTGTCCTTCACCAAACTCGGCAAAGGTGGCAGCACACTGCGCATTGCAGGCGAGTGAGGCATCTCATTTGTGCAACATCTCATGCAATTCTTGGCTGGCAAATGTAGATGGCAGCATCGAAGCCATCTGTTCAAAATATGTCCTAGTGACCTTCCACAGCAGCTAGAGAGGGTGCATAGATGGCATTCCTCGTTGGGGAGATATCCTCATAATGAAGGCCATACTTGGAGCCAAAGCAAGTTACGGAACATTCAAGCTGTTCTGGCTTTCATGAAAAAGGGTGTCCTCAGGATGAGACAGTGCACTTTGGTAGTTTGTGATATTCTATGATCTTCAGGTGCCTTTCTTAGCCAAGATGAATAAATAAACAAAAACAAACTGAACTTCTGATGCGTGCGCAAGCAAACCTGCAAAATTGCGCATTTTGAAATAGTACTTTGACGCCGCGTTTGCTCAATATTGCTGCTGGAACCTATTCTCTTGACAAATAACAACCTCTCCCAGAAAAACATTCTGATCATCTGGGTTTCTCACGTGCACAGGTGAGTGCTTGTGGTTCCTTTTTGCGCTGCACACTGTGAGTCACGGCTCACTTGGAGTCAAGGCCACAGCGATCTGGGCCGGAAAAAAACATTAAGTATTTTTCCAAAGGTCCTTTAAACAAGGCACCTGACACCTGACTTGACTGAATGATCCCTATCAGTGCCATCTTCCAAGACTTCCTATTGATTTTTAGAACTTGAAAATGTGAATACTGCCCTTCACGACTTCCATCGTTGCCACAGTTGATCGAAAAGGGGCCAGCTCGTGTAGGTTGGGGATGGCCTCCCGGATTTGATTTCCTCTATTGCAACAGAGCCCCTGAGGAGACGACACGAACGGCGCATCTTGCCAGTATGTACACGAGGACGAAGGTTAGAGCCCCTGACATCAGAAACATGCCAACACGTTTGGTTTATGGCGCAGTCACCAAGAGCAGATTTTTTCAAATTCATGTTTAAGATTGCGTGGGAACAAATATGTATTTGGTAACTCTGGCAATTCCGCGTGCATGTCCTGAGCCACATGTTTCGTTGGAGAGCTGCCAGTGGCTCTGCACCACACCGGACTTTGCCTCGCAAGGAGCTCATCCAAGGGCTCTCCTGGTAGGAACAAAGCTGCACTTTCAGTTTCCTGTGGGGCGTGCAGCTTGAAGCCAAAAAACGAAGTGCAACAACTAGCGTAACAAGTCTTGCACATATAACCTTCTAATACATGAGGTGCGAAAGCCGCCCCTCGCAAGCGCTGAGAGCAACGCGCATGACTCAAGACGCTCCAACAAGCAATGTGGGAGCCTCCAACACTCCCGCACAGACCCCCTGATAATAGACACTTCGCTCGCGAGATTCTGCTTTTTCAAAGGTCTTATCGCCAGAACTTTTCGGAGGCGCCCTTTGTGCCCTGAGACAGCCTTCAAACGAAGCGCAAAAGGGGCACCAACAAACGCTGCTCCTGAATGTCGGGAACTTGATGCCAGGCCTCTTGTGCCCCGAGACGGCGCTCATACACAACGCCGAAGGGCCGAAGGGCACCAGCCCAGAGTGAAGGGCTTTCTTCAATTCTCTGCATCTGGATCTCTGCAAGTGACGCTATCTGTCTTTCACGCGTGGCTTGACTTCACGTGTGGTTTGTCTCGCCGAGCTACAGGCAACATACTGCACAGCAAATCATAATACATATGTTTTCAGACTGGAGCCGACAAATTTGACAAAGCGCTCCACAAGATGCCGTCATGACCAGTTGATTATGCAAAAGATGCCGTGGTGCCCAGTTGATGATATAAAAATTTGATTATCAACAGTTGTGGCATCACTGGCATCATAAAGGCCGTCATAGCGCTAAATCTTGTCGGCCCGTGTTTACCCCCTGCACCAACTTCACCTAATGGCCGGCTTTCGAAATATATACGTATACAGATATTATAGATACACACACACACTGTACTGTCATCCCATGACCGTGACCCAACATTTGGCACCCTTCTCTCCAATCCCTCCTGTGTCTCCTCCTCTTGAGACTGACCCCCTGCACAGCTTGCGTCGATATACATGTGACGAAAGCCATGGGAACTGATCCTTCACAAATGCCCTTGCGCAAATGGTTGCTCAAAAGTGGCTCTTTGACACTCTCATGTCTTTTGAGGAGGGTCCAGTTGAGGCTCAGAAGTGTTTGCCTCCATTCTGCCGATGATGCTTCGCAAGCATAGACGCCTTGCCACGCTGTGCTCGACTATCTGGAGTTCACTTGTTGCAGTATCTATACATACACATAGGGGTTCACATCTTGGCTTGTGTGGCTGCGCGTTCTAGAACATCCTGCGCATGTTGGCTTAAAGCTTTAATCCAGAAAGTTCCCCTAAAGTACAAACGGACAAGGCCTAAGGCTTGTGAGCTGGATGGAAATGCACCAGCTTAAGCCAAGTATCACTAAGCAATTATGACCTTAGATGATGCATACGATGCTGTATATTCCAAGGGGAACAACCCTCATCACTACATGCCCACTGCAAAAGCCATTGTAAATGATTTTCGTCACAACATGAATGTCGAGTTCAGGATTTGTCCATATCACTGACAGAGAGCGGCGATCCACACGCATTGGTGTATGTGCCTGTTCCCGCTCGTAGTCCCTGTGGGGCCGTCGCCGCATCTGCACCTCGAGCTTGGCTGGAATCGTTCTTTCCTACTGGCCTGCGTGGCGGAAGAAGTTGCCAATTGCTGTGGAAGCATTGGATGCTTCTTGAAAGAGAGCTTCTAACTCTAACTCTGATGGATGCTCCACGATCGATCGACATCAACGAAATGCACCTAGTAGAAGCTTAGCTTGTAGAAGCTAAGGGATCGCTAGTAGATTAAGTAGCTACTACTTAGGATGCAGGATAGCTCACGCTTCTTCAAGGAAGCTCCCCCCGCCGCCCTAATGATTTGGTTACTAAACTTTTAAGGGAAACTTAACTTACCCAAAGCATGGCATAGCAGCTAGATTTCTTGAGCTCCCAACCAGCCTTGCTTTCTGTGGGCTCACTCGGTGCAGGAACACCGGCAATCTCACGCCAAGACCAACCTAGCACCCAAGGGTGGCTCGGAAGACCTTCCAAGCCTTCTCAATTTGACACAGAGAGAGGGAGAGAGAGAGAGAGAAAAAAAAAAAAATTAGCATGAAGCACATAGAACATCATTGAACAACACACCAGTATAGTGAATTTATACAGAGTCATCCATGTTTGACTTGCACTTCGGTTGGCTAGGTTCTGTCCGTTAAGCCATTTGCAGTGAGGGAACGCCCAAAAGGCACATCTTCCGGAACAAATCACCCACAAAGCCCAGGTGTGCATCACAAGCAGGCCGGGCGAACGTCCCAGCATCGGCCCACCAACCCTGTGAGCATGGCCAACTGAGGACCAACCAACCACAGCTAATGATGGCATATTCTACCGAAACAACCAACAGAGTCCCAAGAAACAATTGGGATGACCAGGACTAAATCAGATTGACTACCACCTCGTGAGTAATGCTAACCAATCGAGGGTGGCCAGGTCCAGCCTGTTGCCTACAAGAATACTGCAGCCGCGGTCTAAAGTACCTGCTCGGCAGGTGTTTGGCCTAGACAGACAGAACTCTCAGCTGTAGAACTCTCAGCTCCTGGTAGCGTCCTTGCTCCTAGTAGTATGGCCAGGAGCCCCTAGCAGGCCAGGAGCCCCTAGTAGTATATATGTATGTGGCAGGGACCTTTTGGTAACATTTCGTTGCGGATGAAAAGCACCGGCACATTTCTCACTAGCGCGCACAGGTCTCATTTGCCCATGCCACCACGCACAGGGGAAGGAGAAACCGGACGTCGCGGGTCCTTAGATCGGTTTCTCATTGTTTTTCATTGTTCAATTATTGCACATGTATATTGGGAAGCATGCGTTGCAACTAATGAATCAGCCAAAGCGTCGTCCACTGATCTCTGGCCTGTGTGAAAATTCTCCCAGTAGAACACTCCTGGCTTTGTGCCTTGGATACAAGCGCTGATGGCTGATGGTTCCCGAAGCCTAGAACGGTTGGCATGACGTTCAAAAGCTTGTTACGCTTTTCAAAAGAGTACGGCCGCTTTTGCGTTCAAGCCAGGCTGCGGCTTTCGATCTTGCGCCAGCTCAAGTTGTACGCCTTTTCCTCACAAAGGTACCGATTGAAAAATCTTTTCGATAACCATCAACCGGATTGATTCCCGCGCAGATATGAACATAGTGTTTGGTGAATTCAATTCATGAGTGGCTTCGTGCCAAAACAAATGAGGCTCCCAAAAGCCACGTGATCATACGGTTGAAAGAGTTAAAAGAATGTCTCCGTCATTTTCGCATGCCAATCATCCTTGCGTCTTTGCAACGCGTCGAACCATCCTTTGGAAGGGACAGAGGCCTCCACCATTTCCTCAGCGCGCAACTCTGAAACGCCCAGGGCGCATTGATTGAATTGTTTGTCCATGTCGGGCCGCCAGAAATATGTTGATTTGAGCGTTAAACAAAAGTTCCTGCAACTCCGTAACTTGCCCGCAATTCTGCCAAATCTGAGACCCTGGCGTGCCATCTGGGCTTGAAGCCCCTGCCAGGTGGTGCGGATGTAAATGGTCTACGCAGGTAAACTGTAAAGAAAGAGCCACTCTTGCAAAGCAATACATGTTCTTTTTGGTGGCTAGAATCAGACTCTGCTCCACATGGATTGTGAAACTAACAAGCGCAAAACACAAGCCAGAGCACAAACCTATGTACGTTTTTGTTGAAGCATCAGCTTTCGTAAGCTCAACAAATCATATGTTTCTATGTTCGCTCGGCGCCATAGTTCTAGTTTCTCTTTGGAGCGGCGTCCTACACCACCGGAGTATGGATTTCGTCGCCCGACTCACCTTTCTGCACCCGGAATACAATCCGACGGGTCACGAAAGCATTGTCTCCCCAACGACGCACTGGCCTTGCCACCGTGGACACCATATACATCGACGGGTCCCGTAGCTCCTGGATGGGGCAACCACATACCATGACTTACAAAAAAGAATAAGCATGAATAGCACGTATATTGTTGATGCTTTGACAGTTTGCATGGCTTTTGAAGAGTTTGTTTGCTTTTGTTGTGTTTACTCTTCTTCACACTCCGCAGACCTTCGCAGGACAATGATACTTGGCTAAGATCCTTTATCTAAGCTTACTGTTCTGCTTCGACTCTTCACCTCCACCTCGCCAGATCCCCGATTCGACGAAGCGGGTGTCCTTGGACTTCTCAAGGGCAAACTCCAAGAGCTTTGCCGCATGCTGTGGCGGAAGGCCTGGGACATCGCAAACATCCGATGGTTAAAAACACAAAACAAACAATGCACTTCTAAGTCTGTCAAAAGAAGTCCTTCATCAAAAGGATTCTGATCAAAACCTTTCAACCAGCTCTCTGGAGAACATGTGAAAAAAGAAAAGTCTGATACCTTCTATACATCTCAAATATCATTACATCTGTGTCTTCATAACTCTACGCCGTTCCAGTGGCCTGTCACTGCGACGAGCGCTTCGTTTTGTACCGAAGGACCACCTTTTTGCACCTGGCTCCTCAGTGACGACCACATATCCATCCGACCGGGAAGATCGAAAGCGGACGTTCACAATCCACCGAAACATTGCTTTTGGTTCAAGGGGCGACCATCTGCATGGAAGTCTATCATAGAAATTAAGGGGGGACCATCTGGATGGACGCTGTATTACAACTCACCGACTGCCCTCGACCAAAATCTAATCTCTGAGAATCAAATTGGATTAAAGTTCACAGGGTATGTTTCTTGAAGTGCTTCACTGTCAGTCTCTATGTTTCACTTCAGATCCCCACAGAAGCCGCTCCATGGTTATTGGATCAATGCCTTCCGGGCCTGAGCCACGAAAAGACAGTCGATCCGAGAAACTTTCCCATTCGTTTCCAGGAGACAACTGAAGAAGCCATGCCATGGTATGTGAAAAGTAAGGAACTAAGCAGTAAATTGATTTTAGTGTTTATGTGAGGAAAACACCTCTTGATATGGGTAGTGGCCCTGTCATCGACCGTCTCCCCACTCCTCACCTGAAGGTGCTGCATTTTGCAGACCTTTCGCAGCTCCTGTGCCAAGCTTTCCGCATTCAATCGGATCAAGGAAAACCTAATGCAGCCTATAGGCAAACCGACCTGGCGATGATCTGTGATTGGTAGATCACTTGTCAATGTGTCAACTTGTCAACGGCTAATGCGTTTGTGTCACTCATTCACTAATAGCCGAAGTGTCTCGCATCACGACAATCAAACATGATTCGAAAAAAACGGCGCGGAGCGCTTCGGCGTAATCCGCCTGGAGGAAGCTTCTCAGCGACCTGCAGCCATGAAGATTTCGTAAAGTTCCCTCATGACACATGTCGTGGCGTCGTTGCTGCGCTAACTGTTCTCAGAATGTGCACTGTGTAGTTTGTTCTGTCCTATTTCAATCCGTACCCTTGCGCACAGCTGAACGCTCAGCATGAGAGCCGGGCCTCTTCGGCTCGCGCAACACACTGCTTCTTTGCCGCAGCGCCGCGCTCACCTGTCATGCCGGTGGCGCATCTTTGGGTATGAATATGCCATATAATGTTCCGCTGTACCTTCTTGTCTACAACATATGATGTTTGATCAATATTCTTTCATCCTGGAATGGCCATTCATCGCGAAAAAGCAGATATCTTTCGCGGATCTTTCGCGACCTCATCGCGAAGCATGTTCCTCAAGAGAGGTTGGTTACTTAACATGTTTTGGGTGAGTCAGAGAGTCATGTATATTTATATATAGAGATACGGTGGGCGGAAGAAGAAATCCTGCACCACTTTGATACAGCCGTCATCCAAAGCTGACAGACCAGCAGCCCCACATCCCTATTCCAGGTCGTTGGGGTATGGGGGTGGGGTCAAGTTTGGTAGGCAGAACTTTATCGGCACATTCGTGAAACTTTCGCGGATCTTTCGCGAAAAATCATTAATGATTTCCCCATTGGCTCAAACTGGCTCAGCCAGGTGATTGCACTTTGGCTGTATTTGGCGCCATCTCTGTGGCTAGATTGCTTCAAGCACAAATGCCTCTGACAACTATACACATCTGTGATCTATGACACATAATACAGGAATCCCACAAACATACGCTACACTACACATTGACATCCCAAAACAAACTGAAACCAAGTAAAGTTCTACGTAGAAGCTTTTTATCCAGTGGGCCATAAAAGGAGAACCAATATTAAAACCAGAACCTTCGATAAATCTTTCGCGAAAAACATGTACTTTCGCGAACCTCATCGCGAAGCTTTCGCGGAGGGTTTTAACAACATCTAAAAGGCTGTTTTATATTAAACTCCTTACGCTGGGTTTTCGATCATCTCCCATATGGCTCACAACTACTTTTTGGACATGCCCGGAAGGACTCGATTCGCCGTCAAACCCGGGTATAGGCCTTCCACGGCAAGTCCATACCAATCTGCCATCCGCTTGGCGCGCCGCTCTCTGCGCGCCATGGCAAAGGGCCAAGGGGTGAAAAGCGGAGCAACCGTAAACATAGAACATTGCAGTCAACAATGAAACATCTGTCCTTTATTGCCTTTTGAACGGATGACTTTTGTGACATTGAAACCCATTGAAACCCACGACACTTCCGCGCACCCATGGGGAAAAAAGGAAAAACTATAGCCAACAGTTCACATCGACATGCATGGTGAAGCGTTTCGTTTAGTCTCTCGGTCTCTCGTCTATTGTTTTTCGTCTTAGTCAGTCAGAATACAGCAGCATATGAAAACTATTTAGCGCATTTAGCACATTAGTCTTTTGTTGTCTACCAGAAAAAACGTCCAGCCAGCAATCAAGTTTTGCGTATTAGCGCTGTGCGCGTCCATCCTACACACATATGATATGGCACGCAGTGAAACCTAACTATAACTCCACCATCTGCAAGAAATATAGAAAAAGCTAAATTATCCTTTTTGTAACAAATACTATTTGCTGTCCCCGAAATTTTTCGAATCAGTCTACCATGTCAACACTACCTTAAAACAACAAATAGTAGTAATAGTAGTCGGGATGCGCTTAGCAATGAAAGGTGATGAACCAAAATAAATTGGAAAGAGAAATCACATCACCAGAAACAAAACCCATGCATGCCAGATGCACCACTTGTTAACTCACAACCCTGGTACGGGAAGAAAGGAGACCGGGACCAGCGCAGCAAACCAGCCGTGCAAGGGTGGCTCAAAGAAGAAACCTACCACCCCAAAATTTAACCAAAAAGGTCGCAACGAATGAAGACCCCTTCATAAAGGAGAGTGCGGGCGGATCAAAAAGAGAAAAGGACACAACAAAGCACTAAACCCGTGGCGGAAGATCCGCCAACAAACGTTGCCCTATTCCAAGAGCAACCCTACTTGGCTGAACTCATGACCAGTAGATCCAACCAACCGATTGAAACAAATCATTGCAAGCAAATCACCGTTTGTTGTACGCTCGCGTACACGTCCCAAGACTTCAGATCTCCACAAGGTAGGCAGGTTCCGAAGCGTGACAGCACTTCCCTCAAGATTTTTCAAGATGACCTCACCGAACCTGCTAACAGCCTATAGTGGGGCAAGGGAACTCGACATCACAAAAGGTGCAGTTACACCAGGTTGCTCAGTTTCACCATCACGCACGCGTTCAATCCACAATAGCACAGAGGTTCACACTATTCACTGTTCCTTTATCTCTTTCATACGCCACAAACACATCTCTATGCGACTACGCGTATGCCTGAATCTCCATCCATATATACGCTCAGTTTAAAATCTACAACCGTGACATCTTGTCTGTCAGCTGACGCAATGAACATTTTTCTGGTTGCAAAAAGTCGAATGTCATTTGACACCGCCTCTACGCAGTCTGTGGCGACGAGCCAATGTAAAAACGGTTCTCTTGGCTCTTTTTCGAACCGTCTTGGGTTTACATGTTGTGGCGCTGCGCCAATCCTTTACAGCCTGGACTTCATCCCTCCGCGCAGAGTGCAGCGGAAGCTTTGCTTTGTTAATCCGACACCAACACCTCCACTGTTCCTCACACCAAACATCAACTCCAACACACTGTGCCAGCAAGCTTCCTTCCGGCATCTGTCTGCTTGTTGGGAAAAACAATGCTGTTTGATGCGCCAGCAATTTCCCAAACTGCATGATTTGCAGCTTCAATCTCAGTGTGCTGCGATGCATAGTGCGAATTGGACGCGTCCAAGTGTTTATCTGAGCGTGGAGGGCCTCATTCGACGAAGTTCCGCTTGGAAGTAAAGCCCGCTGCCGAGGTTCCATTCCGTGACGAACCATCAAATTGTTCATAAGCCAGCCCAATCGGTCTGGGGCACACGCGGCCCAAAGTATTTGCCGGACTTCCTTGTTTTGACCCGTCACCTTGCGGCATACTTCAGATTCGTACTGCTGCGCGATAGCAGCCACAGTTTCAATGAATGTAATCCTGCAAAACAAAGGGGTCGCAGGATCCAGCCTGGCCAGAACAATCTTCGCTGCACGCTCCGGCATGGAGGAATTCAAAATCATACGCCGCAATCGTTCCTCTTGCGCTGTCAGGGGACTGGCATGTGAGCCACAGAACATAGAACCCCAAGATTTATCTGAACAACGCTGATCGACAATGTTAACCTTGTTCAAGAGCTGTCGCAAAACCTTGGAACCAGACGTTCTACGGTGCCAATGGGCATACTCGTAGACAATTGCCAAGTGCACCGGATCCAGCGACAAAGCACGCAGATTTACAAGGCATTTCTTCAAAGTAAAAAAGAGCTTCGAAGAAGGTGAATCAGTGGCTATATACAGCACCTGTTGCAGTGCCTCAGTGTCCAGAGAAGTAGCCAGAGCTTCAGATATACAATCTGCATCTTCACCTGTCAGGGTTGGGCTGCAATCAATGCATTGGGCGCATTGAACCTTTCTATTTGCCCTAACCATTACCACCTCGCCTCTGATTGGCACCATGGCAACCACTGCACCAGTCCGACCACGTACTGTCAGAACCCGCCGGTAGGCCACATCGTCTCCAAAGGCAGCCTGATTTCGTACCTTTACGGAGCTGCGCCAGCTTGCTTGGCCTGCAACCCCAGCGCATATTTTGAGCGTGGCATCCACAGACAAGTAGAGGAACTCGGAATTGCGCAGCAACGTTGTGGTGAGAGAGTTGAGGATGATGCGAATGCGCTTGCACGCGAAAATGTCCTCTACCACAGGCCACCAATCCCTGTTGTGGGCTGGGTAGAGGCGGCCTAGTGGATTGCCAGCTTCCAGTGATCGAAGTTGTAGCCGAGGCCAGACGCTTTTGACCTGCAGAGAGCTTTGAATCTAATCTAATGGGCTGTCTCTGTAATGAACAAGCTTTAAAGACACACAAACAGAAAGAAAAACATTCGAGAAATCCCAAGCCCAAGCCCGTTTCAGGCCACGGAGCATTTGAATGATGAAGTACAACTTCGCGGTACAAGACCTCGGCGAAAGATTTGTCGTAGTAGATGTTGAGGACTCTGCGGGCAAAGATGGTTGCGCCGAAAGCCGCTTTGTTAACGTAGACAGGGCCGCCTGCTGTGAATAGAAGTCGAACTTCTCTGTCGATGTAGGTCTGTCGATGTGAGAGAGGAGGGGCGCAGTTGCGGGCCATGAGCGAAGCACTTCGAAACAAGAAGTCACAGCCTCTGGCCCTGCGAATGCAATCGTCATCGTGTAAAGCAAGAATGACCTTCAGTTGTTTTGTACCGGAGCAGGCAAACTGCACCTCTGATGTGTGATAATTTTCTATATGTACACGCAGCTGTTGAAGCCTGGCAAATGATCGAAATGGGCATAAAGTGCACCGATACAGCCCACCAATCTTCCGGATGTTGTCGTCAATAACTTCTTGCAGGAAGCTTGCTACTTCCTCCTCCATCGAATCCTTCAAGTTGTCGTGCACGAAGACTTCCCCCTCATCATTCACGATCAAGCTGTCGGCATCTGGTAACTCATCTTCCGATGATGAGCTGCCGGCCTGCAGGTCCAGCAATAGGTCACTTGGGGCACAATGGTCATTCTGAATGGTGAAGGTAACGACTGTGTGTGAATCTACCCCTTCAAAAAGGGCAGCTAGAAGATTGTCGATGCTAATCGTCCAGCGCGCGTCGTGGTCATGCACGGTCGCATTTCCTTTGTCTAGCTTGACGGCAACGCAGTGAGGAGTACCTCCATTCTCTGTGTGCAGAAGGAATGAATGTGGTGGCGGGGACGAAATCCCAAGTGTAGCTCCGAGCTCAATTCCAAACAGCTCACAGCATTGCCGGTAGCTTCGATGCCCGCGCTCTAGGCAGTAGGTGTTCTGTGGATGCTCGGCTTCAATCTTTCTCACTAGGTCCTTCTTGGAAGCAACTAAATGCCAAAGAGAAGAAGGAATACAATTTCCATGTTTTTTCAAAGCATCTGGAAATTCATCGGGCTCACCCGTCGCCGATGACTTGGCCTTTTGTTTGATTGCCTCCAGCACGTGCGTATGCCTTTTCTCAACAACCTTA